TAAAAATGTATAAAAAGAACACTTTTTAATACATTAACAAGATAATTTAAGGCAGAATTATTTTTGCTCTCAAAATTTAAAAGAAAAAGTGTTTGTATATTTCAGTGAATATATTAAGTTTATAGTGATCAGTTGTGTGAATAGTAACACATTGTGAAATTTTGTAATGATTTTATTTAAAATTTAATATATAAAAAATAAATTTAATATATAATAAACATAAGTGAGAGATTAGTGAGTATAAACAATTTTAAATTATTCATAAAGTAAGTGCAATAAAGAAAATGTATTATAAAGTCGCTTTTACTACATAAAATAGTGTAAAATTAGATAAATTTCCAGTTTCCCTATTGCTATGGCAAAACTGGAAATTTTACTAATTTTACGCACTTTTATGCTATAAAAAAGTGACTTAAAACTGAAACGAAATCGACTCACTAAGTAAGTATTAAACAGGAGGAACAGTTTCTTACCAACGCGGTCACTTTTCTTCCTTTCAAATTGTGCAATATAAGATGTTTTTTAGATATTTTTACCTACACGTTGTTACGTTATGGATACCATTTAGATAGCAATTGTTTGCAGGGAAATAACTACTTAAATAAGTATTCAGTACTTGACAAAGTCAAAATAAGGTACTTGAGTATCTGACTATATGTAAGTCATTAGTAAGTTGTTCTGTAAGTACAAGTCTTGGCAAAACTCAAAATAAGACACTTATAGACTAGACTATAGACTAGACTATAGACTAGACTATAGACTAGACTATAGACTAGACTATAGACTAGACTATAGACTAGACTATAGACTAGACTATAGACTAGACTATAGACTAGACTATAGACTAGACTATAGACTAGACTATAGACTAGACTATAGACTAGACTATAGACTAGACTATAGACTAGACTATAGACTAGACTATAGACTAGACTATAGACTAGACTATAGACTAGACTATAGACTAGACTATAGACTAGACTATAGACTAGACTATAGACTAGACTATAGACTAGACTATAGACTAGACTATAGACTAGACTATAGACTAGACTATAGACTAGACTATAGACTAGACTATAGACTAGACTATAGACTAGACTATAGACTAGACTATAGACTAGACTATAGAACTAGACTATAGACTAGACTATAGACTAGACTATAGACTAGACTATAGACTAGACTAGACTAGACTACTAGATTATAGACTAGACTATAGACTAGACTATAGACTAGACTATCAGACTACTAGACTATAGAATAGACTATAGAATAGACTATAGACTAGACTATAGACTAGACTATAGACTAGACTATAGACTAGACTATAGACTAGACTATAGACTAGACTATAGAATAGACTTATAGACAAGACTATAGACTAGACTATAGACTAGACTATAGAACTAGACTATAGACTAGACTATAGACTAGACTACTAGGCTATAGACTAGACTATAGACTAGACTATAGACTAGACTATAGACTAGACTATAGACTAGACTATAGACTAGACTATGGACTAGACTATGGACTACACTATAGACTAGACTATAGACTAGACCATAGACTAGACTATAGACTAGACTATAGACTAGACTATTGACTAGACTATAGACTAGACTATAGACTAGACTATAGACTAGACTATAGACTAGACTATAGACTAGACTATAGACTAGACTATAGACTAGACTATAGACTAGACTATAGACTAGACTATAGACTAGACTATAGGCTAGACTATAGGCTAGACTATAGGCTAGACTATAGACTAGACTATAGACTAGACTATAGACTAGACTATAGACTAGACTATAGACTAGACTATAGACTAGATTATAGACTAGACTATAGACTGGACTATAGACTAGACTATAGACTAGACTATAGACTAGACTATAGACTAGACTATAGACTAGACTAGACTAGACTAGACTATAGAATAGACTATAGACTAGACTATAGACTAGACTATAGACTAGACTATAGACTAGACTATAGACTAGACTATAGACTAGACTATAGACTAGACTATAGACTAGACTATAGACTAGACTATAGACTACACTATAGACTAGACTATAGACTAGACTATAGACTAGACTATACACTAGACTATAGACTAGACTATAGACTAGACTATAGACAAGACTATAGACTAGACTATAGACAAGACTATAGACTAGACTATAGACTAGATTATAGACTAGACTATAGACAAGACTATAGACTAGACTATAGACTAGACTATAGACTAGACTATAGAGTTGACTATAGAGTTGACTATAGACTAGACTAGACTATAGACTAGACTATATAATAGACTAAACTGTAGACTAGACTATAGACTAGATTATAGACTAAACTATATCGTCACCTGAAACGCAAAGGCCCTAACTAACCCAAAAATTCAAAATCGGTTTTATTGTTGATTATAATATATTGCATCAAAACAAATGTCCACACAAAAAATTGGACTCCTCCGAATATATTCATTGAATATACATACATATTTATTAAACCATTAAACAATATAATCATTTAATTTAATTTCATTTTCTATAATTTTTAATCGATAAAACCCTGAGACTTACACATGTTTTTTTTGAAAACTTCTACATTGTTGTGTCACTCTCACTTCAATACTCTTGTTGTACCTACCACACATACACACGCACTCTGACGACTATATACTATTTTATAAATTCTGTAAATAAAACTTTTTTGCTTCATGGTAAATTCAGACAAAAAAATATAAACGACATAGGAAAGAACAAACTTTAAACTGTTGCAGCAGCAGCAGTTGCTCTGGAAGAGGTGTTGGTGGATTGTTGTTTCATCATACACTTTCTGAATTATAATAATAAAAAAGAAGCAAAAAACAAAAAAAAAAAAAAAAAGGAAGAATACAATTTTCCATAATGTTTTTGATGGCTTCGACTTTTACTTTACTTTTAGTTTAGTTTGTGTAGTAATAAAAAAACAAAACAAAAAATATAAATTGAAACAGAAAAAAAGTTGTAGGAGAAAGAAATAAAAGAACGAAACCTTGGAAACGTTGTATGTGGCATGTGCAAAATGTATGTATTTTTCGATGCCACAGGAAACAATACTTAAAACATTGATCGATATTCTTTTTATATTCAATATTTAAGTTTGACAACTAGTTAGTTATCCATTTAGTTTTGTTGTTGTTGTTAGTTACCCTTTACTCCTTTTTTCTGCAGCATGTTTGAAAACATTGTGGGTTTATTCAAGCGGTAATTATTTGGATGCTGTAGAAAGTTTATTTCTTATTTTATATTAATTTAATAATTAAATTTATTTAGAGAAAAGTCAAGTTAGTTGAAGGGTTAAGATGAAAGTAATATGAATCCATATTAAAAGCAAAAGACGAAAAGAGAGAATTAAAAAGTTGATAAATTAAATTATTGAGACTTCTTACAATGTTGTTTAATAATATGATGGCGTGTCATAACAAAATATGTCACAATGTCCATGGGCATTAATCAAAGGGATTAATTTTGCAATTCTATTCGGGGAAGGAGTGGCATTTTCTAATATAGTTTTGACTATCGTCTAGCCTATAGTCGGGACTACGGTTTAGTCTACAGTCCGGACTACAGTTTAGTCTACAGTCAGGACTATAGTCTAGTTTGTTTGGTTTATAGTCTGGACTATAGTCTTGTCTATACTCGGAACTAGATTTTTGTCTATAATCTGGACTTTAGTCTGTAGTCTGGACTATAGTCTGGTCTAAAGTCTGGATTCTAGTCTAGTCTATAGTTTGTTTATAGTCCAGTCTATCATCTGGACTATAGTTAAGACTATAGTCTAAAGTCTTGTCTATAGTCTGGACTTTATTTTAGTCTATAGTCTAGTTTACAGTCTGGACTATTATCTAGTTTACAGTATGAACTATAGTCTAGGTTATAGTCTGGACTATAGACTAGTTTATAGGCTGGGGCTATAATCTAGTCTATAGTCTAGTTTATAGTCTGGACTATAGTTTACTTCATAGTCTGGACTATAGTCTAGTCTGTAGTCCTAATTAGATTCTAGTCTACAGTCTGAACTATAGTCTAAAATATAGTCTGGGCTATAGTCTAGTCTACAGGCGGGACAATGGTTTAGTCTACAATCAGGACTATAGTCCAGTTTATAGTCTGAGCTATAGTCTAGTATATAGTGTGGGCTATGGTTCAGTCAAAGTAGTCTGGTCTATAGTCCATCTATCATCTGGATTCTGTCAGGATTCTGGTTTATAGTTTGTCTATAGTCCAGTCTATCATCTGGACTATAGTTTAGTCTATAGTCTATGGACTGTAGTCTAAAGTCTGGTCTATAGTCTGGACTATTGTTTAGACTATAGTCTAGTTTATAGTCTGGGCTACAGCCTAGGGTATAGTCTAGTTTATACACCGGACTACAGTTTAGTTTATAGTCTGGACTTTAGTCAATTGTCTGGAGTATAGTCTGTAGTCTGAATTATAGTCCGTAGTCTGGACTATAGTTTGGCCTATAGTCTGGTCTATAGTTTGGACTATAGTCTAGTCTATACTCTGAACTATAGTCTAGTCTATAGTCTGGACTATAGTCTAGTCTATACTCTCGACTATAGTCTATAGTTTGGACAATAGTATATTCTGTAGTCAGACATAATCTGTTCTATAGTTTGGACTATAGTCTGGTCTGTTGTCTCAACTGTAGTCTGAACTATGGCCTAGTATATAGTCTTATCTGTAGGCTAATCTATAGTCTGGACTATATTCTAGTCTCTAGTCTGGAAGTCTTGTCTTGACTGTAGTCTTATCTATAGTTTTAGGTCTGGTTCAGATTTCTTTAAAATTAAGTATTCTATAGTATTATATATAGAGTCTTTTTTTTTAATTAATTCATGTATATTTTACAACATTCTTATTTTTAATCAAGTTTTTATTATACAAAAGCAACTTTTCTAATTAAAAATTGTTTTCTTTTCCTTCTCATTGCAGCCGAGTCACCTTGCCATTAACTGTTGATGAGGTTTGTATCGATAATAGAAAAATACAATCATAAAATTATACAAACACATACTTAGTTACTATCTCATCTCGTGTACTTTATTAATATGTATCTGTATATGTATTTTTTTTATTTACCAACCACAATTAACGTTTTTAACCCGGTCATCAGAATTAAATTATAGAAAATGATATTACAAATAAAAGATGTTTGAATGCAAATGGGATTGGAACAGTATTATTTTGCAAATAGTAAAATGTTGTTTAAGTTATTGTTAAATGATAATTTTTAACATTTGGACGAACACCCTGGAAATATATATAAGTCTGTCATGTTTGTATAAGGTTAATCCTTTAAGGTTTAATAGTTTTTCCATTCGATGTCGAAAATGTTTGTTGCTCTTTGTTAATTAGGGATAACTTATGTCATTAATTTGTCTCCGATTTGATACCGGAGGTCTATGTAGTTTTTACTGGCATCGGGAAGGCTTAAGCATATCAAGGACTTCGCAAATTCGAGCATCGACCAATGATAGATATATGCCATCGATACAGCCGCGAGAATAATCTGGGAACTGAATCTCGAAAATTAGACCATACATATATACTTGAGCATGATGTCCTTTGAGCCGCAAAAAGCGGAACAAAGGGACAGAATCCAGAAATCCATGACCCTGTAAAAGGTGACTCTGTAAAGGGAGACCAAAAACAGGTGAACAAAAGACAGGACACAGAACAGGACGAGCTCTCTACGGTATGATAGATCGCTGGACTCTCGGAATCCTGTAACTCTGACCACAATTGAAGTATGAAGCCATGCTAAATACTAATGTTGTGGAGGTCAGGCCAGCTACGACTAAGACGGAACCAAACCTGAGCTGGTAAGTGATCACATCTAAACATGTGCCCCATGCCAGTACTGGATCGAACACGATCACCGACTCGGAGAATCTTGACGTACAGCCATCTTCATCAAAGTAGGCCACGTCGGGAACAAAGATAGGAAGTCTATTAGCACTACATCTAAGGGACTGACTGCAATCTTCTCTACTCGAGGTACAGCGGCGGTTACCAAAGGTTCGGCAAGCAGGCCTAGTGAAAGCGTAGGTGTCTGAGGGTAAGCGGTTGAAACTATCAACTAGCTGACCTACAAGTAACCATCATAGGCCGTAGTTAACTCGATGGGAAAATGACTACGGACAGATGGCTGCTAATGGAGGAGAAGATCTTGCGGGCAATAGTTGACGAACTCGCACGCAGTGAGGATGACTCCTTTACTGCATTCGATGGCGTCGAATGGTCAAAGGATGTCAAGATCATCGGGTGTGGTAATGAAAAAGCTCTAGGCTTTCTCAAAAACTGCATCCGTGGAGTTGGCGAACCCTGGCCCAACGCAAAAATTGAAATCGTCTCACTGGACCAAGTACCTTTTCGTACGACGTTGAGAGTATGGGTTCCTCCTCCTATTCTGGAGGACAAATCCATACTAACACTCATTAAGCTTCAACAATAAGGAACTTGGTACGGATGACTGATCGATTGAGATATGACGCACGAGGAATAAGGGAGAAGGTAAGGATCTCTGGTTCAAAATTGGTTCAGATGGAAGAAAGATATTCGATTTCAGTGAGGCAACGAAATTCTAAGGAATTTCTCCAAATTTTTTTAGCTTTCGTTTATCTTTCTCTCTTAGAACATAATGTTAGTACAAATTGTTAACCCTAAAATGGGTATCATGATGGAGAATTCCCATTTATAAGTTGCGCGATTAATCATCATACATAATGTAACTCTCTTCAAAAAGGCAAAAAATTCCATATTACGTTACAATCTGTTCTTTATTTCTGTAAAAATACAAAGAATGGTATTTTATTTATATATAGATTGATAATTTTCGTAAAATTTTAAATAAAACAAGACGATAGTATAAGAATGACATTATTCATTCATTATCAAATTAAACTCTGAGTAGTAAAGTTTAAAATTTAATTATACAAATTATAACAAGTTAACACAATAAATTACCAATATGTTTCATCATCCTCTAATTTACACAATGACACGTTTGCAACATTGTGAAATACGTTTTGGCGGATGTGATCATGAAATTGTTCAACGTTTCGTCACTTTAATAGAGACGTTTAAACGTCAGTACAACATCACAGATGAATTGGCTTTAGAGGACTTGGAAAATATACTTTATGGTCAAGCTTTAACATGGTGGAAGGGTAATAAGAATTCTTTTAATAATTGGACACAAGCTTTGTGTGGTTTAACTGAAGCATTTCCAATCGAATAAATTTATTGAGATTTTTATTTTTAATAAATATTTTTATAAATAAATGTTTCTTTACATTTTTATATCTATATATAAATATTATTTTATATTTTATTAATCACAAATGTAATTTTTATCAATCTTAAAGAATGATAGAATAATTTAATATTTTACGAGGGTTTCTTTAATTATTAGGAATATAATACAGTATTAGTTGATTGGATTCATTTAATGTGTTGCGATTTCATAAATCGAGAAAAGGTGTGTTTTCAGTTCAGCTCTTCTTAGTCTTTTTTAATTTAAAGACGTTATAGTCTACTTTTTTCAATATTTATGCTTTATTGTCTTAATAATTGCACAACCGCTGGCTATTAAAAAAAAAACAAGTCAATATAAATACGTAAAAGTTTTTGTTATTTTATTTACAAAATGTAAACAAACTGTCTGCTTTATAGATTTGTTTACTTTAACAATAATAAATGATGTGTAATCATTTGTTATTAAAATACTCCCGCCTTCAGCATAATATTAATTTATATTCATGGTCTATAAAGTTCCTGTTCCTCGCAAACTAGTAGTAAAAATGTTTTACTCACTCCCATGAAAGAGCTATGTCCTGAAAAGTTTGGAACAATGAAGGTTCTAAGATATATTATAGAGAGAGACACAAAATTTGACCATATCCTTTCCGAATGTAGCGGTTTTCAGACTGAGAACTAAACAATCTTGAAAGCTTCGGATTGAGATTATAAAATCCGAAGCATTCCGAATGAAAGCTGGAGTGATTGGACTTACATAGTAATAACGACACAAACAAACAGGCAAGACAGATTTCTGGAATTCACCTGATTTTAACATACCTGCTATATAGCACAAAGGTATTACATAAAGATTTCAATATACTACTATACTGTGGAATAGAAGGTAGAACTTGAAAAGTTCTGTATGACTCAGGCCAGATACTACAGCAACCAAAATAAGAAACAGTATGTTGTAGTGTTGTTCGCAAACTTCACAACCTTCCAGTCACGGACATACCACAGACCTTCACTCCAGCTGAAGTTCAAGATATCATCAACAATGCCAAACCAGCATGGGCTCCACAAAATGCACAACACTATCACAGTATTAACCACCATAGCTACTCAGATCTCACAAGGCTTAACTCAGCAGAGGCCATGTGAAAGGACGATCCTAGTTGCACTTCACCTGTCAAAAGCCTTCGTTCTGGTGAATGGTTACCTCAACGAAATACATCAGTTTTTCACTGCGCGTAACCTGCAACTATCACCAGCGAAGTCGTCAGCAACACTCTTTACCACCTGGACGAAGGAAGGCGTCGTGGTCGATGGACCACTTTTGACACCCTTTTTCTTCCTCAGCACATGCCACTGCAATCACACACAAATTGGGAAGTAGGAGCAATGTACTCAGCACTTGGAGTATGGATAAAGAAACCTTGTTAGCTACATACAAAACGATTGGTCGGTGTGGCCACCTTTGCTCAGTGATACCCAGTGGAGAAACATTCAAGGCAGTCAAAACACTACCCTAACGACTGTAATGGACTGCTTACAAATTACCTTGGAACATCATCTGTACGAGGAAACGAAGGTCCTCCCAGTCAAGGAACACAATGTCATTTTGACTAAGCAGTTCCTCCTGGGATGTCACCGGAGGAGTCATCCCAACCTTAACATCATACTGTTAGATATTTCCCCGAGGCATGTCAGGAAGGACCTTCGTATATCTCCGGTAGCATCGAACAAAACTAACATCGAACATTTCGGTTGCAATGTCTGTCATTAAAAAGTGGCCTAGAATCCGCGAAAATATACTACTCATGTGGTCAAGGTCCCCATGATACCCACCACATATTCAACTGCTCAGCCAACCGTACTTCTCTTTGTCCAATGGATTTATGGACACATCCAGTCGAAGTAGCACAATTTTTAGGCTTGGACGTTAAGGAAAGAAAGTTTTGGGGATGCGAAGAAGGATTTCCGAAAGTGATGGTAGTTTGTAGGACACCGAAGAGGGGTTTTCGAATGTAAATATAGTTGGTGGAATACAGAAAAGCCATTAGTAGAGGCAAATTCCTGAACTTTTGTTGAAAAGTATGTTTTGGGAAAGCGACGAAGGGTTTTCGAAAATTATAATAATTTCTGAAATACGAAAAGACTATTGGTAGAGAGTCATAGATGAGAGTTTAATTCCTTGTCTGAGATTACGAACCCCTGGCCACTGTTGTCTTAAATTAAGATTTTAGAAGAGCGAAGACGGCTTTTCGAAAGAAATGGTAGATGGAAAGTCTCGTCTGAGATTACGAAACCCCTGAACTGTTGTGTGAAAAAAGGTTTTGGGAGAGCGAAGAAGAGTTTTCGAAAATGATGGTAGTTTGCGGTATACAGGAAGGCTATTAGGAATGAGACTTGCAGGAGAGTTTAGTCACTTGTCTAGGATTACAAAATCCCTGCACTGTTATGTGGAAGAAGGTTTTGGGAGAGCGAAGAAGGGTTTTCGATAATGATGAATGTTAGTGGAATACAGAAATGCTATTAGGATAGAGATCCCTTGACTGAGATTACGAAACCTCTGAACTGTTAAGTAAAAGAAAATTTTTTGGATGGTAGTTTGCGGAATACGGAAATTCTATTAGGAGAGAGATTTAGAGGAGTCTGAGCTTTCTGTTGTGCAAAAGAAGGTTTTGGTAGTACGAAGGCGAGTTTTCGAATGTGAAGGTAGTTTGTGGAAAACGGAAAGGCTATTAGGAGAGATACCTAATAGAGAGTTTTATCTCTTAACTGAGCTCACGAAACTCTTGAACTGTTGCGTGATAGAAGATTTTGAGAGAGCGAAGAACTGTTTTCGAATCTGATGGTAGTTTGCGGAATACAGAAAGTCTAATAGGATAGAGACTTAGAAAAGAATTTAATTCATTGTCTGAGATTACGAAATTTTTAAACTGTTGTGTGAAAAAAGATTTTAGCAGAACGAAAACCGAACAATTTTCTAAATTAATTGAAATCCTTTCTAATATTTGAAATATACATTGTTATAGCCAAAACTTTTCAATCCTTGTGAACAAAACTTTTAAACGTTCACATTCTTATTGATGATTTTGTATCTATACATTGTACTTTGGTATTTATACAAACATAATAAATGTCAACAAACAACACCCACTTGCGACAAAAACATGCTGTGTTAAATACATAAGAAAACACCTACTGGCAATTGTTAGTGGCAACAGGAATATAACAAAAATATCCTGTATAAACATTACTTATTTGTCTGCCCTTTGTAGTATATATCTGTAGGTTTTCTGTTTTGTTTTCATTTCTTTTACTTTTAGATTAGATTGAACGTTTGGTTTGGTCTATTTCTACTTACAAACACTAATCACATTCATTTTCATTCACAAATTCAATTTTAAATTCAAATCATCAATCTAACTATATTTAGAATTGTATATTGTGTTTATCTTTTATTTGTTTCTATTATTCTATTGTTATTATTACAGCATTTGCAATTGTTTATAATATTTATCTATAAATTTCTTTCCTTTCTATTTTTTCTTCTTTAAACCCTAGTATCAAGTTGCACAACTTTATTCAGTGGCTGAAGCTTCGAAGAATGAAACTGGTGGTGGTGAAGGTATTGAAGTATTAAAAAATGAACCCTTTACCAATCATCCTTTGTTGGGTAAATATTATTATGGTTTTTCTTATTTAAATTTTAATTATTGAGTTGTTGTTTTTTTCTTTTTTTTTTTGTAGGTGGCAAATATAGTTCCGGTCAGTATACATATAAAATTTATCATTTGGCTTCAAAAGTTCCAGCATTTATAAGACTATTGGCACCCAAGGGCTCCTTAGAAATTCACGAAGAGGCATGGAATGCTTATCCATATTGTAAAACAGTTATTACGGTATGTTGTTTAGTAAACAGTGTAAAGTTTTGTAAGACATTTTGTATCCACAAAAAATGCAGAGAATTTTAAAGCCTAATAGGGCTTGGAAAAAAGGTTTACGAGAGACTTTTGTGTTATACTTTCGAAGTAAATTTTAAAGTCGACTCAAATCTGGGGGTCGAATTGCTACTGTATTATCTCGATCGCAAAATGCTTCAACATTCATTCTCCTGGAAACGCATTAGGCTCTAGAATGCTTAAATTTCCCATAAATATTTTATGGGAAATCAAGGAAATAAAAGAATGTTGCTAAGAAAGTGTTTATGTCTTGATTTCTAAAAGGCCATTGTCGGGAGCCTAAAAAGCGAAATCTGATGTTCTACTAGGCTTCTTCATCGAGCTCCTTCTTGGAGACTAGACTATAGAATAGACTATAGACTAGACTATAGACTAGACTATAGACTAGACTATAGACTAGACTATAGACTAGACTATAGACTAGACTATAGACTAGACTATAGACTAGACTATAGACTAGACTATAGACTAGACTATAGACTAGACTATAGACTAGACTATAGACTAGACTATAGACTAGACTATAGACTAGACTATAGACTAGACTATAGACTAGACTATAGACTAGACTATAGACTAGACTATAGACTAGACTATAGACTAGACTATAGACTAGACTATATATTTTGCTATTTTTCGTGAAGTCTGCAAAACGTGATATTTTAATTTACCTCTCAAAGTCAAAGACGTAAAATTTTAAAAAAGACATTCCAAATGGTTAACATTTTATTTTAATCCTAAATTTATTTTTATAATCTTATGAAATTCAAAACTAAATTATCCAAATGTAAATATTTTCTAGAATCCTAAATTTATGAAAGATGGTTTTAAAGTAATCATAGATTCTCTGCATTTACCTGGTATTGGAGATTCTGAAAATGTAAGTCGAATACACTGAACTAAATGTAATTAATGGTGTTTTTTCTTCTTTTTTCTTTCTCTTTTTTTATTGACATCTAAATGTATGTTTTAATGCTTCAATATTAATAATTACCTAATAATTATACAACAAAAATAACAATAAACATTGTGGTTGGTGTTGGTGTAACGTATTTAAAAAAAAATAATAATATTTTGAATTTAATGCAAAAATATGTTTTTAATGGGAAACTCTAAATTTGTGTGTGTGGGTATATGTGCTTTTTATATGTTATTTTTTTTAATAAAATTAAATGCATCTCAATAAAACAAAATCATTAAAAAAAACTAAAAAAGAATCCTGGTTATATGAAAGATAATTTTATCATAATCATTGAATCTCATCATATTGCTGATATAGGAGATCAGGATAATGTGAGTTTTAAATAAAATTAACCTTAAATGTAGTGTTTTCTTTAACAAAAACTAGTAACTGTCTAATGCTAATTGCTAAAATTTTATGTAATTATTAAATATTTTCCTTTTTATTATTAATAATTGGTATTTTAATTAGTTGTTTATTGTTGAACATATTATCATTCATTTATATTTAATGACATACAAATAATAAATAATATTATAAATTAACTCTTTAGGTACATGAACTGCCTCCAGAGAAATTGAAATTACGTGAAGTCGTTCATATTGATATTGCCAATGATCCCGTTACACCTGCGGATTATAAAGTTGATGAGGATCCCACAAAGTATTTATTTATTTGGTTTTCTTTTAAATTACGAAATTAAATAATAATTTCTTTTTTTTTCTAACAGATTCACCTCAGAAAAGACCGGTCGTGGTCCTTTAGTTGGTGCCGATTGGAAGAAAAAGATTGATCCCGTTATGACTTGCTATAAATTAGTCACTTGTGAGTTCAAATGGTTTGGTCTTCAGTCCAGAATAGAAAATTTCATACAAAAATCAGAACGAAGATTATTTACAAACTTCCATCGGTGAGTAAAGCAATTACTTTTATGGGCGTCTGAATATATTCATAGGTTTGTCTAGGCCGTCTGAATATATTCATAGGTTTGTCATAGAGTCTTTGATTGTTAATCGAACATTCGAGGGATGTTGCTCAAGCTGCTATACTGCTGTTCAGTTATGTTTAGTCTTTTGCCATAATTTCTTGGTTGTAGTACAAGATATTTCCCTATTTCATTCTGTTGCTGATGTTAATGTGACACAGGTTTAGCGCTATTCCGTAAAAATGGTCAATATCAATATATGTCTTGATCCTGTTTAATGATGCATTCCTGGTTCAACCTTAATGTAATGCTTTTATTGCGACTTACGGTCAGTTAATATTCAAATATCACTATTCATTCGTTCCGAATTCTGAATGTTATCTCGGTCTTAAATTTCGAGATGAAAATACACAGTTCTAGTCAACAGATCCATTGGAATCCTGTTTGGCTAAATAAATTGACCTTCTTCATGATCGTACCTAATAATCGCATTATAAGGATTGTCATTAGTGTTTATAAAAAACCGACTTTTGGAAAAACCGGTTTTTCGGTTAACCGAAAATTGACCATTTCTAGAAAACCGGTTTGTCGGTTAACCGAGTATAAAAAAACCGGTTAAACCGGTTAACCGAAATGTTTGGAAATCTTTAAAATATTATAATATTTAGTTGAAAAAGTCATTATTATGAATTACTTAATAAGATATTTGCACTTTTTAGTAGAGATATGCACATTAATATATCATAAGAAAACAAACTTATATAGATCTGAAGATATTATTGATTCGTTAGGTATATGGAAGTTGCCATAGGAGGGATAAATTGACCTTTGAATATATAATCCATCTATATCAATAGCAAAAATTATGTCCAGAACTATCAAGGCTCGCGACGATTTATCGGGAACGGAAGTAGACGACGACTGTCTCGACATAGACAGTGACCTCCCTTCGCTCGCTACGCCTGTGGTTGTTCAAATTACTGTGAATGACGCTTAGGAATATTGACAGGTGTCATTCTGACTTCCTGTCAATCAACCTAAGCGCCATTACAGTTTGTGAAAAACCCCAGCAGCATAAGTTCTCGGACGACAACAACAATCCTTATGTTTCGATAAATAAAGTCCGTTTTGAGAACGTTTGTGAAACTTCTCGATTTTTATTATACTCACGCAGTAAACAAGTAAGTTCATCCTGAATTTTACCATCAATGTTATTTATCCGTCTTAATAAATAACAAATTTCTTCATATAATGGTTGGAATTTGTTTAAATAGTTAATTTTTTATTGGTTTAAATGCCAACTTTTTAATAATTTCCTAATTATCTGAAATTGTAAATCTCCATTTTATATACACTAGAGTTCGCCCAGCGGTCGAAATTCGACCAGAACCAATGCTGGAAAAATTGCATAAATAAGCTAAAATAAAACCCTATTTTTGTAGTTCAAATCTGTGGTAAAAAATTAACTTTATTGATATTATCAAAGTGTATAATTTGCTTTGAATAATGTTTTCTTTTAGAAAATGTGATGGGTTTTAGTAAAACTTCCATCAGAAGTTTAAAACCTCAATTGTCAAAATTAGTTATACAACTTGTTTTACAAAAGTATTTCAACTATTTTAAAAATAATAAAAAATAACGAACATTTCTTCTATCGACTTATTATCTCCTACATATTTACGCATCGTTCAGAATGCTGGAGTACTCTGCTGTACAGTGTACACACCAGTAAAGAAATGTTAGCTGTTCAAAATACAGAGTTGAAATGTTCTAAATAATTTGTGAAAACACTAAAAATATTTAAAATAAATAATGTCTTATCTAATTATAAATAAATTTTATTTGGATGTCATTAGTAGTCCATCCAACAGGTATATGCTGCATAAATTTTCCCTTATAACACTCGACAAAGACTTCAGCAGACATACATTTATTCAATTTTAATGTCTTCTAATAGAATTTAATAGTAGATATTCTATGAGGCCTTCTAATGGGCCTTTTATTAGCCTTCATATAGAACCGCATAACGATATGCATTGGCTTCCAATTACACACTGATTTTGTATATGCATAATAAGGCCTTAATTTCTCAAGTAATGTTTTTAGTACTGTTTGAAAGAAAACATTAATAAACTATAAATTTCAGTCTTTTGTTAATATATGCAAGTTTAATAGCAAGTAAATGAATAATAACGATAAATTGCTAAGTACGGTTAAACACTCTTCATCCCAAAAGACATGATTTATATTTAGCAGTTTCAACTTGTATCTATTTTTATATAACAAATAACCATCACATATTCAACTTACAGTTTTCACTTTACACTACTATTTCATAATTGGTTAGAATAGCCCAAAAAAAGAAGAATATCATCAAGTCCTCGCTGTGCTAAACCTGCATATAAGCGATATACATATCCATTTATTGCGGTGTATCATATACCGGCATGACCAACTAAACTTTACTTATATTTTTTACAGGCTATTTTTATTTCTTACTGACACTGAATCAATTCGTTAATCCATCTAAATCTTCCAAATCAATCAAAACTAATAATTATGTACCGCAATTCAGTATTTTTTTTAACTACAACATTTTGTCGTTATGTGGTATGTATTCTGAACTTCATTTCACCGATTTTTTTCGTTAAACATAATCGAAAAAGTAAAAAATAAATTAAAAGTTCACGTTAATAATTTTATATTTTAAAAATATTTCAATACATAACTTTTGACATTCTTATATTTTTCCGATATTTGTCTTTAAAATATTCTACGGTTGTTAAAAAGTTAGGGAAATTCGTTAATGTAACTGATATTTGTCATTACTTTTAGATATCAATACTTAAAATTAAAAAAAAAAAATTACTGAATTCCGGTACTGATGTCCTACCAATAATTTTCCAGTTCAAACACCAATATCAGTACATTGTTTGGCATTTCTTTAGGTTCCCCAAGCATTATTTACGCATGTTTTTATATTCCCAGTTCGTTGTTTCCTCGGGAATGTCCTTCAATTTAACTATTTTGAAAAGTTTAAATAACGAAAAACTTCCAATCGAAAACTCTGAATATAAAACTGAAGTCCTACTTCTTATAAAAATATTCCTTTCGATTTGGTAACAATCGTAACGATATTATAACAAAATTGATCATTATCTCATTCACAATTTAGCACTTTACACAAAAATATAAAACAATAAAATCCTGTTTTCGCATTGCCTAAGCCTTATTAAAAACAATAACAAAAACAAATATCATGCAAAATACAAAAATCAAACAGCAACAGAGAAGTTAAACGTTTCTGCACTCTCCTCTCTTTTTTCAAAAAGCCGTGTTGTTTACTTTTTTTTGTTTTGTTTATAACTTGCTTTGTTTGTTTTTAATTTCAAGAAGACGTACGTGTGACTATTGTTTCTATGTATTAGTAACAACTTTAAACTCTTATAGCTCCTAAAATTCTGAACCGATCTCATTAATATATATATTGTGCACATCTGCGAACAAATACCTTTAAAATGATATAATTTTTGCCAAGATCAGATGTATACTGTAGGAGTAAAAGGGGTCACAAAAAATCGTCTTGCCTATTAATTATATAGATAGATAATATTTGTTTAATAATCTTAGGTCTGTTTTCATATGCACAAACGGAAAATAATGTTTAGAATTATCTATCCAAAATTTTTAAAAACCACAATAAAAAATCAGAGAAAACATACAATTTTGTACCAAAAATTTGATTTTTTTTGGAACCGGTTAACCGAGACTTAAAACCCGGATAACCCTGTTAACCGAAAACCAATGTTTTAAAAAACCCGGTTTGCGAAAAACCGAAATATGCAATAAAAACCGGTTTTTCGGTTATCCGGTTAACCGGTTTATAAACACTAATTGTCATCTTTCGCAAAAACGTGTCTAAAATGGCTCACTTAGAGTTCTTCTTGAACTTGAATAATATACCAAACAGTTACTCCATAAAAAAGTGGATTTGATTGACAGCCCTTCCACAGATTCTTTACGGAACAATATTGATCTAAGTACATTAGACTAGAGTTGTTATTTTCCTTCCACGATAAAATTTCGTGGATCCCGGGAACACAACATTCCCTAACATCATTATCTGAAATCATAGGCATCCTGAGTTTGTAACATGTTAGGTTGGATTAAAAAGGCAGTCAGCCAATGAGAAGGCCGAATCGCTTGACCAATTGAACATTTGTTAGTTAGTTAGTTAGTTAGTTAGTTAATTAGTTAGTTAGTTAGTTAGTCAGTTAATTAGTTAGTTAGTTAGTTAGTTAGCTAGCTAGCTAGCTAGCTAGTTAGTTAGTTAGTT